TGCTTAAGTTCAGGAGTTGGAGGTTGCTGTGAGTGTGACGCCACAGCACGCTACCCAGGGCAACATAGTAAGATTCTGTCTCAAAAAAAAAAAAAAAAAAAAAGAAAAAGTAGTTCATTTTCATGGGAGGGGGGTGCTTCTTTATATTTATGTTCCTGAAGCATATGTGTTGAATATCCCTAATCTGAAAATCCAAAATCTAGAGTGATCCAAAATCCAGAACTTTTAGAGAACTACTGACCTGACGCTCTAAGATAATGCTCTTTGGAGAATAGTGAATTTCAGATTTTGGGATTAGGAAGGTTCAACCAGTAAGTACATAATATAAACATTCCAAAATCTGAAAAAAAAAAATCTAAAATCCAAAACACTTACTTCAAATAAGGAATACTCAACTCGCAATAAAGAACACAATAGCTCTAGCCAGCATGGCACATTCAAAGGGTCCTAAGTTTTCCTCGGTTCTTGAGAGATTTTGCTTAAAAACAACCAAGTGGCAAAATACTGTAGTATGAAAGAATTCAAAAGTTTTTCTAAAATGTAGCATGGTAAAAACATCTGAGCTAACATGTTGGGGGAAGAAATACCACCAAGTGAAAGATCTTTAGTTCAATAATTCTCCTTCTCTGAGAAACCTCCTTGTATTGTTTGTTCTCCCTCTGATGACATAAAATCCAAGCAGCTGCAGTAGTTTACAAATGTAAATCGTCATTGTTTATCAAAATTCCCAAGAAATGGAGAATTAACCTTTTTCTCAGTGAGAACCCCCTAGTTCCTAGTTGGAACTATAAATATAAATAGCAGCCTGCTAAGATTCTGAACTAACTCTTCTGTGTTAGCTTTGGAATTTGATAAAAGATAGGTTGGCCTCCTTTGAGATTTCCTGGTGGTAAAATGTCTTCTAGCAGAACTTTTAAAGATGTATAATTTGCAAAGAGATAAAGCAAGTGTTTGGGGATCAAATTAGGGCCAAATGCAAGGAATTTAATAACGGCATACATACAAACCAAAAAAAAAAAAAAAACCTTATTGGTGTTTGTTTCCAAGAGATTAAAAATAGCATTGGAAGCTGTTACTATTATTTTTCAAGGGAAGTCTTTTTTTTAAAAGAGACTGAAAACTTTTTTATCAGATTTTCAGTTCAGTTTTAGCATGTTATCCCACATAGAGTTGGCTTCCATAAAAATGTACTAGCTGATTAAAATCTTAAAAAGAGCTTACTCACATTCAAAATCAATGCATAGCTTTAGGATTGCCCACTTACTGTTCAATAGTAAACCTGCTGTGTGTGTGTGAACAGTAGACTGAACTGACTACTGTGCTTCTTTAGGTATTTTTAAGCAAAATCATGAGGTAGCTGGAGTGAATTACTAGCCCTGCTCACTGCGCCCTCTCCCTGTTAGGGATACCTTTCTGTTTCCCTACAGGCCTGCTTCTTAGGGAATTGTATGAAATACCAAAATCACTGTCCTCTTCCTTAATCCGAAGGCCCATTTCCTCTCTCTTGCCACCTGTCCCTGGAAGAAAGTCTAAATGAGTCAGCCAAGGTTAGAGTGAGGAACAAATGAAAAGTAGTGTATAATAAAATGTCTTTTAATATAGAAAAGGTAATTTACATTCTACCTCTCTCTGATGTTTGCATCTTAAAAGAGAACGTAGATACCAAATCTTTAAGCCAACTACAAACTCCTGTGTGAGTGAGTGAGGAAGAGAAATTGGGACTATCTTCCTTCCATCCCTCAACTGCCATCGCCCCTATCACCAGCAATTCTACCTGAAAAGAGAGCCCAGGCTGGGAAAGTAATTTATGACAGGAAGTTAGGGAGAGATAAAAGAGAAGGGAAATGTTTTAGTGGTATCAAGTTTATCACATCAGTTTAATAACCTGGGGATTAAGGGGAAGATACTGGTGCTATATTAAGCATTATGTCCTTGTTTTTGTGGTTGTGGACTCATGGATACTAAGTGGCCCTGTGATGTCAGACTCTGTTTTGGCTAAATCAAAACATGACCTGCTAACTGTCCACTGCTTGAGCTATTAAATATTTTTCACAGAAAGCAACAGAACTAAGGATATTGCCACCTAAATTATTTATTCTTTTTTCTACAGGATATTGATAAATGGTCTTTTGATGTATTTGCCCTCAATGAAGCAAGTGGAGAGCATAGTCTGAAGTTTATAATTTATGAACTGTTTACCAGATATGATCTTATCAACCGTTTCAAGGTGAGAAAGAGAAGACAAAAGGGAAATGCTCTTAGAATTGGTTATTTGAATGAAAATGTAGCATTTTCATTTGAGTGAATTTTCAATTGATTGAGTCATTAATCAATTCATTTTAGAATGCTTCTAGTCACAGAACTACTGTGTTTCCCCGAAAATAAGACACTGTCTTATATTTATTTTTTTCTCAAGAAGATACACTAGGGCTTATTTTCAGGGGATGTCTTAAGTATAATACAACAATCTACGTTTATTCAAATACAGTTAAGTCATCTTCTGGAACCTGACAGGGGGAGCCAACCTTGTTGGTGGGGCTGGCGCTAGTGATGCATGAACTCTTTCCCCTAGCCATTCACACATGTGCAATAGGATGCCTGAGACCACAGTTACCACACTCGCACACACGCACCCGCACAAGTGTGAATGGCTAAGAGAAAGGAGCTGGGGCAGATAAAAGGTATTCCAGTTTTCCTTACCTCTCTGCTCCAAAATGCATGGCGTGGCTATGCAGATATGCTGCATAGCTACACCCATCACTAGGTCTTATTATCGGGGTAGGGCTTATATTTAACAAATGCATGGAAATCCTGCTAGGGCTTATTTTGGGGGTAGGTCTTATTTTTGAGGAAACACAGTAGGGGAACAAGTCCATCACAGGATAGAATTATTCTGCAGAACTCACTGGCGTATCTATATATTAGTCATGAGGCCAACAAGATACCAACAACCCCTGATTTGTTCACAGAATATTCAAGCAGAGATTCAAAGCTTTGTCGGTGTTTCTAAAACACAGAATAAACTTTTATTGGTGGTTTTTCTTACATTGAAATGAATGAGCTTCTAACTAACTTCATCCAGCCAAGCAAAAGATTTGATCTAGATTTCTTAGTAGTCTGCAGCTTGTAACTTTTATCATCTCAGAGAGAACCATGATATTTTTAGAGCTGGAAACTACGGGAGGTCATCTATTTTAACCCCCTTGCTTTACAGATAGAAAAACTAGACTTCATGAATTATATTGGAAGTTTTTACCCTTTTAAGAACTCGCCTTCTTACTTGACTCTGGAGGATAAAAATTTAAAGATTATAGGATGGATGAGACTGTTATATCATCTATCTTAGTTAAATAGTTGGGATTGAAAGGTAATATGTTAAGGAAGGGGTTTTTCAGAACAATCCACATTTGATTTAAAGAAACTGCTGAGTCACTAATATGTCCCATGCCAAATACTGTGCTCATAGTTAGTACCACACTTTTGATCAAAATATACTCATAATTATTACTTTCCACAGATTCCTGTTTCTTGCCTAATTGCCTTTGCAGAAGCTTTAGAAGTCGGTTACAGCAAGCACAAAAATCCATACCACAATTTGATTCATGCAGCTGACGTCAGTCAAACTGTGCATTACATTATGCTTCATACAGGTATCATGGTAAGAGAGGCTTTGTAGCTGAAGTCTGTCGGTTTGGAAACATCAATATCCATTGCCCTAAAGTTCCCATTGTCTCTTTAATGCCCGTTAAATTATTACAAGTAATAAGTATTATAAAGTATAATATTTTGGGTTTTGGATGGTAAATGAGTTATTTATAATATACATTTCCAAAACATATTTTAATTCAGTGGAAAAAGATACCCAGAGGCAAATAAAAACATTTCTTTTCTGAAATTTGGCCTATAGAACATCTTTTGTTCATAAATTCTTTTCTCATAGGAATCAGCCAAATTACAAAGGGAACCGAGAGAAAAAGTTGTCAATAGAAAACTTAGGGTCGTTGGCCCTCATTTACTATGTTCTCCTAAACTGACCTTGCATTGGTGATCATAATCAAATCCTAAAGGGCTTTGGGGAAATTATTCGTGTCAAATTTTTCTTTCTCTTCTTTGAATATGAATGAATTCAGCAGGTGGGTGAATGAGTGGGATTCAGCAATGCAAATCCTGGGATTATAGCGAGTAGATGACAGAAACTCTGAGACAGCTTGGAATTTCTGTACCGTCTTAGAGACAGGAAATCAGGATGACTCTCCAGGTAAGAAGTGAGGAGCGGCCCTTCCTTCTGAAGGTGCCAAACTGAGGTGGATCCAAAGAGGTGTGGGCCATGTGACCGCCTCCCCCAGGACTCGCTTTCAGAATGAAGGGCAGTGAGGAAACTATAAACCATTTTAGGCTGGGAGGTAACCAGAATTGCATAGTTTTAAAATATGTTTCTGCTTAAGTACTTTGTTTTCTTTTTTAACTTGTCACAAGTATAAATGGAGCCAAATAAAAGTCTACTATTTCAGCTTTGGAACCTTCAGCCTGAAGGTGACATTGAGGAGACAGGGGATGTCATATTAGTACATAAATAGAGAAATTCAAATCCACACTGTGACACTACTCTCAGACTTATAAGGAAGACTTACTGCAGGACCGAACAACCATCATAGCTTTTCTGAAAGACTCGGAAATCAGGCCCAGCCCGGCATGCCTCCTAGAAAGTTAAAGTTATTATTAGTAAAGATCATATAGTCACTTTATGAGGAGGCCATGACTCACCAAAATATAACTTCCCTCTACTTTACCAGTTTGGGCTTAGAAAGCTGTTTCTGATTTTATTCATCCTTTAGCAAAACTCTGTCAACAGCTCTTTAATCATTACAAACATTTTCTGGTGATAGACCTTTAACATTGTCAGAAAAATATATTTAAAGCTAAAAAGAATCATAAAAATTTTTACAATAGATGGTAAAAGGAAAGGCAAAATAAGTTTACAAGTGTATAGACTGTTTTGGCAAAATGAGGCTAATATTGACAGGGTTGGAAGAGTTATTTTAACAAACTTTCTTTACATGAGCAAGTTGTGGTTGCTGAATATTAACTTTCATGCAGAAGAACGCCTTGGTTCTTTGAAACAAACAAAAGAAGGCATCGTAGAAATATTTATTTAGCTACATCTCCAGCCCTTTGTTCTCCCTCATATTTGACATGGAAAAGGCTGGGTCACCTCAGGTGGTGTTTGGTTGATGCCCTGCTGTGTCAGGATGGCCTTATCAGGGTGACATTTTTGGAGCACTTCAGTTGCAACCCAACGTTGTCAGGCGATTAATGCATCCTGTCACTTGCGAGATGGTTTAAGGACCATTGCCTGAAAGGGATTGCAATGAAATCATTGTCCCACTGTTTGTTCATGTCATAAGGGATGCCCTGAAGTCTAGAAATAGACCCTGAAGAAGAGAGTGGCTGCTACTCTACCACTTGACTTGTCTCCCTCTCCCTGCCTTTGTCATTTGATTAACTTGTAGCCTGTGCCACGGTGACAGTGATGTGCAGTAACTCGGTCCATTTGCTAAAGAGCAAATGCCTCACAGAGGGCTGCCAGGCCGCCTCCACAAGTCTCTTTGAATACGAAATCACCTAAGGGCCTTGGCCAGAGAACACTTGTACTTGGAGACTCCTGGCGCTGTGTTCTCCCTAACGGTTGGAGTGGAAGACAGAGAGATGGCGTGAAATCTATTTCTTTTGGAACTTGTAGCTCACTGACTGCATCCAGAAATAGTCTTCCATACTCTGGAATAACTCAGTTTTTCTCTGATCAGTATATAGAAACGGGGGAACTATTTCTCTATTCCCTAAACTATGTAGAGATTCTGTTCCATGCGGTAAATGGCTTCCCAGGCAACTCTGGGCGAGTAGAAAGCAGTTAGGCTAGCCCACCACTTCCTCATTCACTTGCTCTGTACCGTGGGGTCTTTGCCACAAAAATGTTGTCAATGATATCAATCATCTTTAGAATGGCAATGAAGAAACCATAAAATCATATTTGTACAGCCTAATACATAGTATTTCTTTTTCTTTTTTTTATACACAGTATTTCTTAACACATACCTTAAAATAAGAAATGTATTACAACATACAAGTTTCCTATACTAGTAACCTAACAAGACTACTTCAGCCTATTCAAAGGGACAGAGGAAAAAACAATTCCAATCCTGTAACTTTCAGCTAACACTGGTGTTAATAATTATGTACTGTTAGATACACTAGAAGCCAAAAATATAATTTTTCTGACTTGAAATTCTCCCCACCTCATACAGACAGTACTGTACACACATGTACTTCATCACACAGGTGTGTGCACGCAGGTGCACACGTACACACACACACACACACACCCTGAGTAATTCAGATGTGGAAATGATATAAGTCTTCAAGCTCTATTAGCTTCTACCTACTCATGTATTTAGGTGAATTGGCTGAAAATTCTGCTTTACACATCTTAGAAGAATGTGTTCAGCACATTGTCTCCCTTGAGTAATCATGCTATTGTGATCCACAGAAGAAACACAAACTTTGAAATCTGACCAATTTGGGTTTGATTTCTTACTCCGCTACTAGACAGCTACATGACCTTTGGCATATTAGTCCAGTTCTTTAGGACTCAGCTTTGTTATCTGCAACATAAGGATACGAATATTTATGTAGCAAAGGGTAACTGAAAAGTGCTATTCATGTCCGTTCCCTCCTTTTTTTTTCTTTTCCTGTTGTTATTACACATGCTGTTAGTGGCTGTCAATGGCTCCTTATGATATGCAGTGATCTGCTGACTGCTCGTTTTACAGTAAGTTTAGCCTAAGCATTTCTTCACATAAAATACAACCTGCAGTTGCCGTAACACCTGTGTGAAATGCAATGTCTCCGTTGCTCACGACAGTCATTTTAACCCTTCATTTCTGCCCACTGAGAATCAGAAGAGCTTTGGTTTGGTGTTGACCTCTACTCTAGTTGGGAAGAGTGATGTGATTTAGGTTCATGGTCTTGGCATGTCCTCATGAATCATTTACAAAATCTATGAACTTAAGCATCCATTTTCTGAGTTACAATTGTCATTTGAGACCAGCACAAAATGAATCAGCGGCTAAGGAGCTAACAATCAGCTTAACATTCTACTTTCACTAATACAAAATGGGTGTATTTTTAAATTAAGTGTGAAAATTCAGTGTTTCTCTTTTCCTAAACTATTTTGGAATGCAAACTTAATCATTAAGGTCATACTGTAACAAGAAATAAGAAGGATTCATAAAGAAAGTACTATTTATGGGAAGTAGAGATAAATTAGAAAAAACAGGAAATACATTTATGATCAATTTGACAGCTAGCAAGATAATAGTTTTAAATGTTTATGAGCTAACCTCTAATTAAATTTTATCTCTGATTTCCTAACTTATTTTGCTTTACTATTGCAGCTTTCTATTTTATGTTATCATAATGGATATTGAGCATGGCTTTAAAAATCCCAGTTAAATCTATACCTACATAAATAAAACCAATAAGAAATTATGTATACATTTCTTTTATACCTAATAAAACTAATTTCTTTTATACCTAATTGAAATAAAACTTTCAGAAAATAGGTAATTTTTTAAGAAAGAATTTTATTTATTAAAACAATGGGTTTCTTGGGGTACAGAAAGTGGTTTAACTTCAATTGCTATTCATTTCATGGTGTTTAATTTCATAGTTTCATTGGGAACATCGGTGGCTCAGTCCCAGTTCAGCCTATAATGCAGGCTATTAATAAGGTCACTTTCTTCCTTTTAATGACACACAATTAAATGCATCTATAAACACAGAACAGCTAGTTATATTGACTCCCTTTGGTTCTGAAAATCATTTCTGCTTTAGTCATCCAACTCTGAGGCAATTATACCTGAATTGCAATTGTTAAAGATACATTAGCTATTATTTTCTAGATTTTAAGTCTTAAATGATGATATACGTAAAGTATATTAAGTGATATATGTAAAGTAAATTAAGTGAAAAAACATTTACTTTGTATCTTACTATATTTCAAGACTCGTGTTAGGCACAACGTATATGTTAGAACTTTTTCAAAATCCCTCGGAGGGGTGATCACTAATCCCATTTTCATGAGAACTATAACTGATAGGGTAACTAATTTATTTTCCTGAGGATCAAGAAATTTAAAACCAGGGTTATCTGATTCCACAGTCTTCTTCACTACACCTACTACCTTTTCCTCATGCAAAATTCAATTACAAAATACAATTCAATGAAAAAATATTAAGTCCCTGTTACCAGCTAAATATCATGACAGGTTCTATAAAGGGAGCAAAGATTAATAAGACCATGCCTCTGGCAACTATAAGATTCAATAGTTTTCATCTCCTTCATTTTTGATTCATGGACCGACAGTGGGTTTCTCCAGCCTTTTATACAGAATTCAAATTCACCAGCTTTAATCAAGGTAGTCCATCAACTCTCCCCATGCTCTCCACCCTCTTTTAAATATCACTTCCCTTGACTCTCCAACACAATTGTACTGTTGGCATTTCTACTTCAATGCATTTTAATACAATCATTCCACATTTCTCTTTCTATTTGAAATCCCTCTGCCTCTAACTTGGCACTTAACTATCAGTCCTTGTCCATCCTTTTTCAAACGGCCTCTCTAGCTGGCCTCAGATTACATCTTTATTTAACAAAATTTTATCAAGTATATATACCGTTCGTATGATCTTTTTCTGTTGTTTTGTGTGCAAGGTCTTTAATTGTCTTAAGTTATAGAGCACTAAGAGTGAACTTCACATTATTTTGGATTCTCCATTCCAATCATCAAATACCATTTACTGGCAGTGCTGTCTGGTAGAACTTTCTGTGATGATGGAAAAACTTGGTGTCTGTGCCATTCTCTATGGTAACCATTTGTTACAAGTGACTAGTGAGTAGTGAAATGAAGCTGGTATAACTGGGAAAGTGAATTTAATTTTACTTGATTTTATTTACTTTTAAATAGTCACATCAGTTAACATTTGGCCAGTGTAGTAAAAGTGTTTTGCAAAATATGAAGGATGAAGAAACTATTTAATTATTTCTAAATGAATGCATAATAATAGAGAAATTCGGTTAAATCATTCAGTTAGTGACAGAAAGATCAATGTAAATGAAACGGATGGTCCTATATTTTATGTGACAGCATTTATTCTTTCCTTTATCACTTTTAAGTTTAACTACATAGTCACATATGCATTATGGACAAAAAATATGGTGACTTCTCAGAGGCTCTTCTAAACATGTAAATATAAAAATGAAGTTCAGTTTCTCTAATGGGCAAAAGTAAAGATTTTCAACTTTTAGATGGAACATGTTCTCATAGCAGTGTCTTCTACAAACTTGAGTTTGAAAGGCATTTTAATATATATGTAATATATATTACATATTATATGACCTATATATTACAAATTAGTGAACTGTAACTGATTTCGTAAGGACCGAAATCAGCAGGGCTGAGAATTCAAAATAAAAGCAGGTTTTATCTTTTAAAACCTTGACAATGGCGCCTTTCTTCAAGTCACAAGGGTTATATTTTAAGGTTTGAACTTACAAGCCACAAAGCAATTATTGACCTCACGAAGTGTATGTTATGCACAATTAATGGAAGCAAGAGAGGAAGAAAAATATTTTAAAGAAATAAATAATTTTATCTCATCACAAATACTTAATGCACTAAAAATCCTTTGCATAGAAAGAAAGCCCGGCTTCTGCTTTCTACGTGTCATGGATTCTTTCTGTAATTTACAGCACTGGCTCACCGAACTGGAAATTTTAGCAATGGTCTTTGCTGCTGCCATTCATGACTACGAGCATACAGGGACCACAAACAACTTTCATATTCAGACAAGGTAAGTTAGAAAAAGTGTTAACTTGAATAAGTTAAAGTCTGAAATTTATTTTGCTGCATACTGCCTATTTTAAGAGGATTTTTTTAAAAAGTAAAAATTTTCATAAGAGTAGGTTTAGTGGTATCTCAAGAAGAGTAATAAAAACGGATAGAATGTACTCAATACTACTATGAAACCAATATCTAAACACTTACACATTCATGTGAATGATAAAACACAAAGATAGTCTGGAAAGAAAGAGAGGAGAGGAGAGGGGGAGGGCGAGTGGAGGGAGGGCCTTTGGCAGGATCTCACCTAATGTACACAATGCAAGGGTACATTTCAAAGCAACTAAGAGTATATTATAAATGTCTTATCACAAAAAATAAGTATGGGAGGTGATGGTTATGTTAATTAGTTTGATTTAAGCATTCCACTTTGTATATCAAATCATCATAATGTATACAGTTATGATTCAATAACAGTTAAATAAAAAAAAAGAATAGGTTTAATGGACTTTTCACAAAATTGCTCAAGCTGTAAATGCTTACATCTATCAATTATTTTTTAAGAATCTTGTATGTTGTCAGCTATCTATTCATTGAGACAAATCTTGCAACATACTATTTAAAGTATTAGTTTTATGTCATTGTGTATTTGAAAGCTATAAAATTGCACTTCTAAAAAAATTTAAAAATTTAAAGAAATCTCATTTTTACACTAATATGAAGTATTAAATTTAAAATAGTTGAAAAATGGGGTTATTTAGTCATAGTTATAGAGGCAGTTATTTGAATCAAGATAAAAGGGTGGAAGTGTCTTTATCTGCTAGCGCTGCAGTAACAACATGCCCCAGAATGGGTGACTTAAACAACACGGATTTATTTTTTTTACAATTATGGAGGCTGAGAGTCTGAGATCAAAGTGTTAGCAGGTTCCGATTCTTCTCAGACCTTTCTCCTTGACTTACAGACACACCTCTTGCTGTGTCCTCACTGGCTTTTTCCCTAGTCTGCAGGCACCCTTGGTGTCTCTTCCTCTTCTTCCAAGGACACTAGTCATATTAGAATCCGACCTGCCCTTATGGCCTCATTTAACATTAATTACATCTTTAAAAGCTCCATCTCCAAATACAGTCACATTTGTGGTTAGGGCTTTAAGGTATGAACTTAAGGGGAGACACAGTTCACTCCATTACAGGAAGGCCCCCTATTCTCTTTTTAGACTAGGGTGATCAGATTTTAACATCTGTAAGGCGGGACAACCTGGGGGGGGCAGGGGGGCGGGGGCGGAGCGGGGCACAGGGCAGGGGACTGAGCAGGCAGGGCCTGACAGCAATGCAAACTTTGATAAGCAGTTCTCGATAATCACTTCTCAGCAATTATTTATTACATTTTAACATAAAATTAACAAAAATAATATAAAACTCATATTCTGGCGAAATAGCCATATGGTGGCCGAAAACCATATATTCCCTTCTTGTTCTCCAGCCCGTTTGTGCATTCTTTCCAAAAATCAGGACTTTTTAAAAACACTGCAGGATGCGGGACAAATTGTTGAAAAGCGGGACTGTCCCACCAAAATTGGGATGTCTGGTCACCCTATTTTACACGGATAGAGAAGTCAGTTCCTTAGAGGCAGAATTTGGTCTAGGATCCACCAGGATTGAATTCACTTTATATACGTGGGATACTGACATTTCTCCAAGACTTTCTCTAGTCAGGATGCTGAATAAGGAGATGTAAGTTAACAGACACATGTCTCTCTAGAACAGTGGTTCTTAACCTTCCTCGTGCCTCCTAATGCTGCGACCCTTTAATACAGTTCCTCATGTTGTGGTGACCCCCAACCATAACATTATTTTCGTTGCGACTTTATAACTGTAATTTTGCTACTGTTATGAATCGTAATGTAAATACCTGATATGTAGGATGTATTTTCATTGTTACAAAGGGGTCACGACCCACAGGTTGAGAACCACTGCTCTAGAACCATTATAAACACCCCTATTGTTGTTGAGGGGACACTAAACCTGGTTGTTTTTTATTTGCTCACTTGTTTTTGTACTTTTAAAAAAAATAGACTTTTTTTCTTATAGTTGCTTTACCTTTGTAGAAAAATGGAACAGAAATACACAGAGTTCTCATATTCTCCCTCCCTGCTACCTTGAAGTCTCCTCTGTTATTAACTTCTTACAGTGATGCAGAACATTTGCACAATTGGTTAACTGATTTTGATTTGTCACTATTGACTAAGGTCCATAGTTTACCTCAGAGTTCACTTTTTGTGTTATAGGTTCTATGGGCTTGGACAAATGTGTCATGCCATGTATCCACCATTGTAGTATCATACACAGCAGTTTTCATTGCACTAAATACCTGCATGCTTTACCTATGTATCCCATCCTTTCTCACTTTTTACCCCTGACAAGCACTAGTCTTTTTAATGTTTCTTTAGTCTTGCCTTTTCTAAAATGTCCTATAGTTTAAATCAATACCTAGCTTTTCAGACAGGTTTCTTTCACTAGTAATAGATATTTAAGATCCCTAATACTTTTCATGATTTCTAGTTAATTTCTTTTTATTGATGAACTCCATTGTATGGACATACCACAGTTTATCTGTTGACCTATTGAAGGAAATCTGAATTGTTTCCAAATTTTGGCACTTATGATTAATGCCTCCATAAGCATATATGTGCAGGGATTTTTGTTGTCAGTTCATTTTTTTTTAAGAAGTATTTTTAACAACTGATTTTCCATGTATAAGGAGTTGCTGTGATGTGGGGAGTATAGAAAACATTTAATAAAATATTAGACACATTAGAGCTTAACAACCCTTTAGGTGAGTGAGATCCACATTATAGATGAAAGATTATAGGTCTAAGCTTCACAGTGTTAGAAGAGAAAACACAGGTGTGAAGAGGTGAAGTGAGCTCTGATATGCACAATCTGTTGGTGGCAGTGGCAGGATTAAGAAACTAAGAGGGACAATAACTCTCAATCCATTTACTTATACCTCATCTGACTCTGCTTCCACGAATCAGAGACAGAAGCATTCATTTTTTATAGCCTAAAATGGAGAGGGCTTACACATTAGAGTCTCTTGATGGAGAGAGAGGAAGAGTTGAAATTCATGTTAGTGAGGCATTCCGTCAATCCCTGGAGTGGAGGAAACCCCAGAGTCCTTCAGATGACATGGCTTGGAAGGAAAAGGAAAACCTACGAGTGTGGTTGTACAGTAGAAAAGTTATTAACCTACGCTACTTGCAGAGTCTAGGGAGTTGTTTTTCATTTATTTCTATTAAACATGAAAAGAAAACTATACAGATTATTTTTGTTTATCAAAGGCTCTTAATATCCACTGAACCCAAAGTAAGGAGGATTTTAATTAAAGATAGCTCATTACGGAGCTGGGCTCTGTATAGGACAACGGTGTTAGGAGTTCAAGAAGGGAGCAAGTGATTTGTTATCAGTGAGTACTTTTTGCCCTTTCTCCTTTGAAAAGTGAAGGTCATGGACTGGGCTTTTCCCCCCGACAGTGTAAAAACATCATTACTAGCTTTCTCCGTTTCCTATTCATCTACAACTGGATAAGGAGTTGTAAATTTTATGCTTTGGGTTGTTGGAAAGGAGAAGAAGGGAAAAGGAGAATGAAAAGGATGAAGAAGATCGCAGGTGAATCGCCTGAGCTCAGGAGTTTGAGACCAACCTAAGCAAGAGTGAGACCCCATCTCTAAAAATAGCTGGGCATTGTGGCAACCACCTATAGACCCAGCTACTTGGGAGGCTGAGGCAAGAGGATCTCTTGAGCCCAGGAGTCTGAGGTTGCTATGAGCTATGACACCTTGGCACTCTACCAAGGGTGACAAAGTGAGACTCTGTTTCAAAAAATAAAAATAAATAAATAAAAACTCGGTATACTTTACCCCAGGGAACAGAGCAAGACTCTATCTCAAAAACAAACAAACTCAGTATAAAAAGGAAAAATTGTCTAACAGGGTCATAATGAACTTGAAAATTTTATCCATGAAAAAATAAGGTTATATATCATTGATATCAATAATTCTATTTCATTTCCTATTATTCATTGTTACTTGGATTTAGAGGGCTTGTTAAACATGGAAACCCATTTACTGTGTAATGCAAAACAACTAAAATGTAATTTAGAGCATAGCACAAGGCTAGATTTGAGTTTAATGCAGATATTATAATGCATTAAATCCCTGAAAGTGTAAATAAATGGAAATAATTTCCTCTTTGTGAAAAGAAAATGTCAAGCTACCTGTTACCATGGATACTGAATGTTGCTTGGAGTCTGTTCTGTTCTTAGCAAAGACCACTCAAACATTAAGACCATGCTGGATTCTCAGCATCCTTGTTAGATTTATGAGACAAAGCCATGCACACTTTAACACAATTAAATCTGGCTCAGAAACACATTTTGCTTGTTTCTGAAAGGAAGAGATGGTGATACATGGTGCCATATCATGTAAGAACCCTGACAAAATGGCTATGACCAGACTTCGGACCATATGATACAAATTGATTATTGGAACAATCACAGTTTTTCCTGTGATTTCAGAAAACTTCTGGAAATGCACATGGTGTTTTGCTCAAAAAAAAAAAAAAAATCCATTTAATTATCTCTTCCACAAGGATTCCATCATAGCTCTATACACAGAATTCAGAAGTAGGAATTTTAATAGCTCTATTCACAGAGTTAAGAAGTAGAAAAACTAGATAGAGCGATGATTATTAAGTGATTTTTAGATCTTAACTAAGTTTTAAAAGCCTATTTTGAGATATGTGCTATTAGCTAAATACATATGATATTTCCTCTTTATTATAGCACTAGAAACAAAAGAGAAAGTAAGTATTCTAGTGACTGATAAGTCATTTCTCTTATGTTGGATTAATAACAAAACTTGATTTCTCCTACAGTGCATCTTACAAGGGTACGTGTGAAATTTACTAGGTGTAGAATATAAATGTCTTAACATAATAACTAAGAAAATGCTGTGAAGGCTATGTTGACCAGTTTGATGAAAATACTTCAAATGGTATATAAAATCAGCACATTGTACCCCATTATTACATCAATCTACACAGCTATGATTTAATAATAAAAAAAAAAAGCTTGGTTTCTGTAGCAGACTATCAGGTACATATCTTGAATAGGTTGCTTGCAGCAGATGCTGATTTCTTTAGTTCTTTCTTATTTAAAAAAATAATTTTTATTGTGTACATTTATAGCATACATTATGGTATTATAGGGTGCAAATAGATAGTAAAGTAATTATTATAGTGAGGCAAATTAACGTATCTATCTACTCACATAGCTACCCATTTTTACTGTCTGTGCGGCAACTTTAGTTCATTTTGTCATTGTCTGTGCTTCAGTAAACATTTGGTGGCAGGTCCAGGGCTAGATTGGAACTAGGGGTTCATGCTCTGGAATAGTAAGTCTGGAGTGAGGCAGTTTCACACCTGACTACATCTGTATCTGTCAGGAGGAAGGAAATTGAGAGAAGCCTGGGTTACAGGTTTTTATTTGACTTGTTTTTGCTGCTTTTGCTGCCTATGTTGAACTTGCCAACTTATATAAATGTGTTCACCATTTTAAGACATTGAGCATAGTCGTTCTGCATCCATTACACACTTGCACAATGGTCTGGCAACCTAAAGGATGGAGAGCAGTCTACATTTTACAAATCTGAGAATGTTTACAGGACTTCAGAATTTATGCTACAGTATTAAATTAATTAAGACAACTTGAAGTAGTTTATTTGATGATCAAATTATATGAAAATACAGACAAGAAATAAAACATTCTTCAGATGAATTCGTTCTTTTCAAAATAAAATATCCATTTCAAATTGGTGGTGAAACATATATTTTAATTTTTCTTTAAAAATAATTTTCTCCATTTTATTTTTTTAATTTTCACCATTTTAATTTAAAGCAAAAGAATCTATAATATTCAAATTTAATCATAAGATGGTAAGGGAGCCAAAGCTAGAAACCCATGTAGACTAAATGATTTTCATCATATCCTACCGAAAGCAATTTTAAGCTTAAAAGAATAGGGGTGGCTATCAAGTCTCTGGAATTAGTGGAATTCATTCTCTGATTGAATAAAGATGTTAGATAATGTTTTTTTTTTTTCTCCCTGGTGTATCTAGAATATGTAACTGGTACACATATCTGGATAACAAATTGAAGGAAAAGGCATAACCACTTTTAAATTATGATAATGTTAATTAAAAGACAGTTAAGCACCACACCAAAGTGGGATTTATGTAGGCAAGCCTGGCTTATCATTCAACACTCAGCTAATGCAATCTATCACAGAAGGCTAAGAAGATAAATTGCATGGTCTTATCAATAGCTATAGAAAAAGTATTTGAAAAATATCCAACACATGTTCATGATTACAACTCTCAGTAAACTAGCAACATAGGGGAACTTTCTCAGCTTTGTAAAGAATATCAGCAAGGGTAGAATAGTGGTTACCAGGGACTGGGTGGAGGCAGAGGGTGAGGAAATGTTGGGCAAAGGAGACACCCCACCACTGATTTTCAACATCGTACTGTATGTACGTCCTTGCTGATACATTCAAACAAGAAAAGGGTGGGGGGAAAGGTATACAGGTTGAGAGAGAAAGAAATAAAATGATCTTTGTTTGCAAATGATCTGATTATAAATATAGAAAACATGAAATCATCAACAAATAACTCTTGAAATTAATGACAATTATTCACATATTCAATAACCATGACATATTATACAGTGAAAAAAGAAATTGTGTCTCCATAGTTGTAAGTGTATAATTATGGGGTTTTTCCAGATGAGATAATTTGAAACTTGGGTATTTATTTATTAGACAATTATGAAGTCTAAAAAAATCCTCTATGGGGCATTTTGCTTTTAATTCTTAGGTCAGATGTTGCCATTTTGTATAATGATCGCTCTGTCCTTGAGAATCACCATGTGAGTGCAGCTTATCGACTTATGCAAGAAGAAGAAATGAATATCTTGATAAATTTATCCAAAGATGACTGGAGGTAAGTTTCTTAGGAAACCTGGAAGAGACTTAATTTCAGAAAAAGGATTAATTGGCCAGGAATGGTGGCTCCCATCTGTAATTCCAGCCCTCTGGAAGGCTGAGGCAAGTGGATTACTTGAACTCAGAAATTTGAGACCAGCCTGAACAAAAGTGAGACCACAGACCACACCTCTACTAAAAATAGAATAACTAGCTGGGCATTGTGGTAGGCTCCTCCCAGTTACTCAGGAGGCTGAGGCAAGAGGATCATTTGAACCTAAGAGTTTGAGGTTGCTGTGAGCTATGGTGCCATGGCACTCTAAGCAAGTTAATAGAGTGAGAATCTGTCAAAAAAAAAAAAAAAAGCGAATGAAAGAGAGATAAAGAGGGAGAAGGAAGGAAGGAAGAATTAATTATATTATTTGAAAGTCTAAAAAACAGATGAAATTCAGTACCTTCCCCATCCTACAAACTCAATTAATGTTGATGGGACAACTCTGAGAAAGATTAGTACTTAAAAGATGTTGTTCAAGAACCAGGCTCTGTTAGACAAAGCTGAAATATTTCCAGGTCAATTGCATGGATAAGATTATATACAACACAACAGATATTTTAAAATATATAATTATACAGTCTCTGGAATGGTTCTCTGGTCAATTTGTACCAATATGTAATCTCATATAAATTCAAAATGTTAGCACTATATTCATTTTTTCCTGTATCATGTTTGATATGTAGAGTTAAGTTTTAAAAGAAAATTTAAAGAGTGGGGAAGGAGCAGAGAATCCATGGCCCTTTCATTCCTTTCTCTTCCCTGAGATGTTAACCCTTTTAGTTTTATTGACCATATGGATTTAGAATAGTCTCAAACTCCACTAGACAACATTTTTCTTCTAAAATATTCAAATGCTATAATTAGAATAGAATTAGTTTTCTTTAAAATGGCTAAAGATGCCATCATATAGAAATCAGTATTTAGGAATTATGACTAGGGAGGGGTTATGGGTATGACAAGGAAAAGTACTGGTTTTTGTGGTAGATGTTAACATCATTCACAGTTCACGCTCTGCAGGTAACTTCTTAAAGCCATGAGAATTTAAGAGTAAACTACTGTCAACTTTTGTGAGTACTTGTACATTTAAAAAGTAGCATCTTTGGTGTTCATGCCCACCAAGAACAATAAAATGTGATTAGTGATATTTAAGGAAATGTTCCATTTTAGAACAATAAAGGGCCAAGTGAACTTTTCTCCTTTTGATGACTCTATAGGGACCTTCGGAACCTAGTGATTGAAATGGTTTTATCTACAGACATGTCGGGTCACTTCCAGCAAATTAAAAATATAAGAAACAGTTTGCAGCAGCATGAAGGGTAAGTTATTTTCTTTTGTCGTGTTAAAGGTCTCGGCATGGACTCAGAAAAGACTGTAAATTGGTTACTTTGTTCTGATAATTTCAGCGTGTCCTTGGTTTGACAGGATTGACCGAGCCAAAGCCATGTCCCTGATTCTCCATGCGGCAGACATCAGCCACCCGGCCAAACCCTGGAATCTGCACTACCGGTGGACCATGGCCCTGATGGAGGAGTTTTTCTTACAGGTGCCTCATTCTGCAAATGTTTCTGGAAATAGTGACTGTGTATATTAACCTTTTCTGTACAGAATCTAGGGCTGTGATATTGTCAACTGGCCACAACACATTCAAGGAGATTTTAGCCGAACTCACTAATCTTTCAGATAAATGTATTAAATAACCCTATGTCATGTAATGCATGTTCTAAAGAGAGTCAAATCTTGCTATATTTAAATGACTTTGGTTTGTATCTGCCACTGTTAGTGAATGCAATATACGGTTTTGCTTTTAAATAATATTGCATATTCCCAGAGAAAGTTCCTGGGTAACATCTTCCAAATCCCAACATTTGGATTTTGATAATAAACATTTTTATTTTTGATAATCAACACAGTTTTGTAAAAATATTTTAATACCTTAATACATTCCATGCTAAAACAAAAAGACTAAATATAAAAAAACCTTTCAAATCCTAACTACCCACTATGACCAAATAAAAATTATAATTTAATATACTTAACTGATCAATAACCAGAAAATGATGAATCTAAAGAGTATATAGAGATCTTCAAGAATAACTTTGTTATGTTAGAGATGAAAAAACAAACATGAAGAGATGAAATGTCTTTTGTGAGGTTAAAAAGAAATTTTTTAATATTTTAAATTGAGAGATCATGAACACAGCTCATGAAAATTTGTTGGATGTAACTAAAGCAATGTGTAGAGGACATTTTAGAGTATTATAGACTTGGATTATAAAAGAACAAAGGTATAAAATCAGTTATCTATGTTTCACCTTAAGAAGCTAGCAGGAGTTAAGAAAATTGAATCACAATAAGTTGATGGAAGAAGATAATAAATGTAACAGAAATCAGTGGAAATGGAGCAAAGACAAACAATTGTAAAAATTAATAAAGACCCTCAGAAAAAATAAATTACTTTCAGCATCAAAAAATGGGAACAATTATAAGTGAAAGTTATCATTATAGATATCTTATGTACAACATATGCTGATAAACCTGACAATATAGATGAAATTTTCAAAGTTTTTAAAAGTTATGTTATCAAAATTGACACAAGAAACATTTATAATGTGAATATTTATACATGTTTTAAAAAATGAATTCCTAATTTAACTCTTCCTATGAAAAAACTTCAGGCTTGGATGGCTTCAATTCTTAATTCTGATTTCGGTTTCTAATGCTTAATTCATTTGAGAGATGGTGAATTCTCTCAGACATTTCAGAAAGAAATAATACCAATTTTATACAAATTCTTTCATTCCATAAAGGAAAAGAGAAATTGACAGCATAATTCCTGACAACACCCTGTCGAAGACTTTTCAAGTAAAGAAAATTACATGCTCATATCTGTCACAAAACTAGATGGGAAAATCTTTAAAATGTTAGCAAATTAAATACAGCAGTATGTAAAAATATGTAGAAGAGTACATATCATGATGAGTCAGTTTAATATTTGAAAATCAATTAAGGTAATTCACCACATCAAAGAAAAATCATATTATCAACTCAATAGCTGTACAAAATGCATTTGACAAAATTAAACAGGCATTAATTATAAAAACTCTCAGAGCACTAGAAATAGGAGATAGGAGACCTCACTCAAGCTGCTAAAGGGTCTGTATTTAACGTACTACTTAATGTCGAAATATTAAACACTTTCCTGGTAAGATCAGGAAATCTATTCTTATTACTTCTACTAGCATTGAATTTGAAGTTCTATCTAGAGTAGTAAGATGATGAGCAAATAACAGATTGGATAAAAATAAATAAAACTGTCTCTATATGCAGAGACATGAGCATCTACGTAGAAAACCTTAAGGGATGGACAAAAATCTTAGAGCTAATTAGTGAGTATTTCAGAGTTGTAGGGTCAACTGTATTTCTGTATGCAAACAATGAGCAAGTTGAAATTAAAATTTAAGAACGAGTATTATTTGTAAACAGCATAAAATAGAAAATATTTAATACATACAAAACTCTATGCTGTAAACCACTTAAAATATGAAACAATAAAAATGCTAGAAGAGAGTGCAGGGAAAACACTTGAAGAAATTGGCCTGGGAGAAAATTTTATGAGGAGGACCCCACCTCAGGCAATTGAAGCAACTCCAAAAATACATTACTGGGATCTGATCAAACTAAAAAGCTTATGCACAGCCAACAGCACAGTAAGTAAAGCAAATAGACAACTTTCAGAATGGGAAAAGATTTTTGCAGGTTATGCAGGTTTTATAACTAGAATCTACAGAGAACTCAAACTAATCAATAAGAAAAGAATAAATAACCCCATTTCTATGTGGGCAAGAGACTTGAACAGAAATTTCTCTGATGAAGACAGGCGAACCTGTCTACCAACACATGAAAAAATGTTCATCATCCTTAATCATCAGAGAAATGCAAATCAAAACCCCTTTGAGATAGCATCTAACTCCAGTAAGATTAGCCCACATCACAAAATCCCAAAACTACAGATGTGGTGTAGATGCGGAGAGAAGGGAACACTTCTACACTGCTGGTGGGAATGCAAGTTAATACGACCTTTTTGGAAAGTAGTTAGGGAACACTCAAGGAACTAAAAGTAGACCTACCATTCAATCCTGCAATTCCTCTACTAGGTATATACCCAGATAAACAAAAATTATTTTACAACAAAGACATTTGCACCAGAATTTTGGTTGCAGTCCAATTCATAATAGCAAGACATGGAAACAGCCCAAATGCCCATCGACTCATGACTAGATTAACAAATTATGGTATATGTACACCATGGAATGCAGCCATAAAAAATGTGGAGACTTCACATATTTTATGTTTACCTGGATGGAGCTGGAACATATTCTTGTCAAGAATGGAAAGATACTTCTTCTCAAGTATCTCAAGAATGAGAGAAAAAAGCATCCAATGTACTCAATACTGCTATGAAATCAATATATAACCACCTACACATGCATACAAATGGCAAAACATATCTATAGTCCAGAAAGCAGAAGGGAAGAGGAGAAAGAGGGGAGGGGAAGAGGAATAAGAGAGGAGGGAGGGTATTTGGGGGAACCTCACCTAATGTGTATGATGCAATGGTACATTTCAAAACTATTAAGAAATGAATATAACTGTGATGGATGTGTTACTTAATTCAACGTATGCATTCCACATTGTATATCGAAGTGGTATCCTGGACCCCGTAAATACATCAATGTACAAAGTTCTGATTTAATAAAAAATAATTTGAAAAAATAAAAAAATAAAAAATATTAGTAAAGTAGAGTGGCAATTTTAGAAACAGACTACTGCATATCTATTTTGGCCCTTTCGAGTGCTGTATACAGTAATGAATCTGAAATTCCTTGCTGCATGCATTGCTCTGAATGGATTGACACAAGCTATTAATCTATATCTAGCTAGAGTAACTGGAAATTTTCATCTCCAAGGCAAACAGCATTTTTATGAAGTAATTTGCAAATCTGTTTTTTCATTTCATTGGAATGCCCTAAGAATCTGAATACTGTGTCCTGTGATTTACAACTCATCACCACCCTCTGTCAAAGTTTAAATGTAAACATATTGTGTTTCTTGTTAAAGAACATATTTTACGTACATTGGTCAAACATAACAAACCTCATAATGTAGAGAAATAATTGGACTTGGCTTCACAAAACCCAAATATAAGCCCTCGATTTCCATCTTTCCTGCCGTGGTGGATGTGAGTTTTCATCTTCTTGGCTGTATCTCTTCTGCCTCCATCTCAGGATGGTTGTGAAGAACGAAAAGATAGAAGGAATGTGAGAAGGCTTTGGATACTATAAGCCATGATGCAAATGTGAGGAATTGGTGGGTTTTAATTAAGCTTTATGTTTTTCAAAGGCAAAGTATCAAAGAGCCATGGTATACTATATTACTGATTGTAAAATATTTTATTATTTGATAATTACTTAAAGCTGAACTTCAAAGGATCTGGGCATAAGATTCAAAATGCATTTCTGACAAAATCATCAAGTTTTAAAAGTGTCCAAGTAAGAGAAGTCTTTTTCACTAGAAATTGAATTTTTTCAACTGATTTTGAACAAAATTAGAGACCAGATATAAATGCAAAAAATCAGAAAAAAGTACTCAAATGAAAGAGCTGATTTTTAGAAATTTCAAGAGCAGGAAGAAAAGTGTGTCTTATGTATATGTTTGAATTAGTATTTCAGAAAATGAGGAATTTTCAGACGTCTTGACTTCTAAATAAGTTTCTTATCGATTTGTCTGCCAAGTTCATTTTATCTACTAACTCTGTAAATCAATAAATATCACCTTGTAAATCCAAGGGGAAACAAATAATTGCAAATGGAAGTTTTGGGGAAGAAGAGATCCAAATAGTTATTTTACCTTAAATTCATACAGTCAGACCCCTCTATTTTCTTTAACATTACTTAGAGTATAAAAGTAGACTATTTCAAAGTAAATTTTATTTCCCATAGTGGTAAAAATATATTTAGTTAGTCCATTCTCAGCAGAGGATCTGGCATGAAAACAATCATAGATAAAACTTCTAAAATTACATACAGGTAATTAACTGTAGCTGTGAGCCAAGTTAGTAACTTTAAATGTAAAAACCACAGTTTTAAGGGGCATATAAGTGTTATAAACATCCATTACCTAGGAAGTTCTAATGTTCTATAAAGTATTTATAACACAAAAATATAATTGTATTCAATATATTTCACTCAAATAAAATATGGTGGCTTTGTTAGGATTTAGAAGGGTTCATTTTTAGAAGTAAAGTAATTAGATGGCATAAATTCCGTAAGTAAGTTGTCCACGGAAAGCTATGCTACTGCATCTTCCCTCTTCCTCCGTCAAATTCTCCTCCAGAACTAGCGGTCTTTCAAATTCTATCCTCAACCTTTCAGTGGCCGCTAAGCCTATGGTCAGGGGCTTCCTATATGTTTGCTGTTAATGTTGCTTCTTGCGCTTAAAACTTAAGTTTCAATGCAAGAGTTTTTCTCAAGATTTCTGTACCTTACTATCTGTTATCATCTTTATTTCTTTAAAATTATAGAAACTATTTTGGCTTTAGAGAAATGAAAAAATGTCATTAAGTCACTGGATTTGACACTGTTGATAGCTGTCAGAGCATTTTACACTATTAAGGAAAGCATAAGAACAATAATTAGGCTTTTATCATGCATGGCCTGAGAAAGACATGATGGCTATGTTAGCCAGTTGGATGAGAGTTTTCCAAACTGCATATGGAAGCAACACACTGTATCCTATGATAGAATTAATGTACACAATTATGATCTAATAAAAAATAAATTAAAAAAAAAAAGAAGAAGAAACCTCAACAATCTCCAAGAGAATGGCTAAGACAGGTGTAAGCTGTCAGGCTGAGTCCATCAGGCTGTCCTGTGTTTCCCTTTCAATGGAGCCACGTTTTCTACCTCCTCAGGCAGGCTGAGCCTCCGGGGCATCAGTGAGCGGCACCGGTTTAATTAACTGAGCTTAATTCTTTCCCCCATTTGTACAAGTAAACTTAAATACAAGAACATGTGTATATTAAGTTAATTGATTTTTAAAAAGTATATTTTGGCCTCCTGAAAGCACCACCTTCAAATGAAAGTACAACCTACAAGAAAAACATAAACTAGTTGTCTTACATAATGCCTATTGTTTTGACCCCTGATTCTATCTTGATGGAAAGTAAATATTTCCTATCCAGGGTCAGGATAAGGAAAATGGTAAAGTTGGTCCAATTTGTTCTCAGAGACCTTACCTTTCCCTTTATATAGGTTTCGATTAACATTCCCTCCATGGTTTATCTGCAGTGCCCCCTACTAACTTTGCACTCATGGCCTTTATCCATGATAAGAATAAATAACATTTTGAAATATTTATAAAGTTAAATAATTAATGCATTTTAGCATTCAATGTGCTTTAGCAGGGGAAATAGAATATTCTAAATTAATTGTAGGGTACAGGAAACAAATAGAATAGAAAATCCTTTATTCCATCTATGGGAAGGTCAGCCCTGCGTGTATTTGTCAAATGTCTAAATCCTGCATGAAAATGTTGCCATCTAACTTCCTATACAATTTATTTCATGGGATGTAAATCATGATAATGCCTTATTCAGGTCTAAATTATCACTTTGAGGTCAACCAAAGAACTGTATTATATAGTACAAAAATGCAACTGTTAAATTTTCTTTCTTAAAATATCAGATATTAGTGCCTTGGACACCCCTATGCCTCCCCCTAAAAACAGTTAAATGCAGCTAAACTGAATTTAATAAATAAAATCCTTTAATAAATAAATAAAATCAATAAAATGCAATTGCATCTGCACATATCAAATAAGTATCTCTAGTATCTCATTTCCCAAGAAGTCTATAGTAACTTTACTTCTATTATTTTAACAGTAATAATATTTATATTTTAATAGAAACTTAATATTTTTATTTTCCAATAATAAACTACTACGAATATTATATCTTATTCTCAACATGTTAAAAATAAAATCTATACTGCTCTTCAAATATACCCTCCATCCAGATCATCTTACTGCCATTAGTGGAAGTTACAGGCCCCTTTTCATTCAAGTTGGAAGCCCAGGAGTCATCCTTAACTCACCGAATACCATCCCTCCTATGCTGACAAACTCGTCTTTTAATAGTGGAATTCTCGTCATGCCAATTCCTTACTAGAAAAAAAAAGGAAGAAAAAGCCAATGCTTCTCCATTACATGCTAAACTAAGTATTAACTCTTTTTTTCTTGTGGTTTAAAACCATCTGGAATGCCCATTAGGTATAATGCATACCTTTAGTTTGTATAGCTCCATATTATCGCTATTATGGATTATGATTATTATTAGCTAAACATAATGACTATTTACTAGATGTTAGGCACTGTCCTTGGGCTTCATATAAATTATCTTAGAGAACCTCACAATAATTCTAGTCAGTAGGTACTATCATGTCCATTATATCTTATTCCTAAAATAAGTAAACTACAATCGCAAAGTTGGGTAACAGATGAGGACAGTTCAGTTCGGCTGAGGCTGTGATATGTCTGAAGTAATAAGGATAGCCCCTTAAACAGCAGTGATTGAGCTGACTGTGTTATCTTCTGACTCCAAGGCCAATGGTATTCATAATTCCCTCCCCTCTGTCCCTTAAGCTGAGTATAAATATCAATTTCGAATGGAACTGATGTTATTATTCTCTAGAAGAGTTAGAGGAGTTATTGGAGAGGTCACAGAAATTCTTATTCCCTATTTTCTTTCAGTCATCACATAGTAAACATGTTCTCATTTGCAGCTACTTTACCTTTCTTTGGTCATTATATCTAGATTTTCCTCCAAAATTTTCAAATTTACTGCCTATAACCCTAATAATCAGAGGCATAGATTAGGGATTGCTCCACAAAACATTCTCAAAAAACTTTGAAGTCACATATTGACACAATGTAACACTCAGGATAAAAAGATGTTAGAAGAAAAAGAGTGGAATGAAACTGTAACAGGCATTTCATCCTAAATTCAGGCCATATGCAAGGTTGGTGCACCCCATGAAGGTATATAGCCAAGAAAATAGGATAAAATAAAGCCCATAGCATTCTTCCAAATGGCCATCCAATTAAAGCGAACAGGAACAAAGGAATATGCTTTCTCCTCTTTCTTTCATAGACACACCCTCTTGAATGCGAAAGAACCAATGTTTGATAAACCTTGTGATCATGAAGGTTTTCCCAAAGCAACCACCATTATTTTAGAATATGAAAATCTAATTGCTTCTCATGACATTGAACCCAAACTTAAATGGAATTCTTTAACATATGGGCTCAATCTACTTTAGATAAGATCAAATAATAAAAAAAATTTCAATTTTCTTTGAGAAAAATGCATTAAAATGAAATTCTGAAAGCTAACTGTAAGCACTTTGGAAACAGTCTGTATTACTTGTTAAGAGAGATTTAATAAAACTTGGTCAACGAGTAGAGAGTGATATTTCAAAAATGCTCATATAATTTTAATTTTAAAAAGCAGTTCAATGACAAACTCTTGATACTAAAGATCTGCTGATGTACTTGGCATAAAATTAATAAGCAGAAAACTCTATGAACTGGATTATTAATGAAATGCCACCTAACACCCTGAAATGACTCCATGTTTTATAGTGACTTTAGCAAATTCCAAAGAGCAAAGGTGTTTCTCCTTATCATAAAGTGGTTGTAGTTCTAAAGCAAAGTCTCCAGGTGCTGAAAATGTAAATGTTTCTTCCCTCTGAAAAAAAAATGTCTGTAAAAGGTGACAATCCAAGAAAAATTATATGCTGCTTATTGTCTTAGCTTTTCTAACTCAAGTCTCTACTAATGTGCTTTTGTTTCCTCAGGGAGATAAAGAAGCTGAATTAGGGCTTCCATTTTCTCCACTTTGTGATCGGAAGTCAACCATGGTGGCCCAGTCACAAATAGGTAATACCAAAGATTGAGGGTGATGAACAGTGGGTGTGTCCATTCAAATGTACACATCATACTGTTTAAAGGGGTAACTTCCATGAAAACATCACTCATAAATTTTAGTTTTAGGCTGATGTATGTGATGTTGAATGATAAGAATTTTTGGAACATTTTCATAAAAGCAACATTAGAAAATGCAATTATTATTCTGGTTATAATCTTTTATATCTTTTGAAAATATTCTGTATTACTTGTTGAGAGAGATTTAATAAAACTTGGTCAATGCATAGAGAGAGATATTTCAGAAATGCTCATACAATTTTTATTTTAAAAAGCAGTTCAATCACGAACTCTTGATACTAAAGATCTGCTGATATACTTGGCATAAAAATGATAAGCAGAAAACTCCATGAACTGGATTATTAATTAAATGCCACCTAACACTCTGAGTCAATAGGAGACTTTTTTCTTGTGCATGAGACTGTATTTGTTGCTGATTATTCTTTTCTGTAACTTAATCCTTTAGATATAGGATAATTTAACAAAAATATTAATGTACCTGTTCTGTTACCACAAAGTTTCCAAACTTTGCTTCACAGATTACCTCGCAGACATTTGGGGAAAAAATTCTCATAATACGAATAGAGAAGTCAGCAACAGGAAATTTAAAAAATGATATTACTCCTAACCACATTTATTCTTACCGTCTGAATTAGTGTTGAGAACTTCAAGTGCAATCCATTATTAAAACCTATTTTTGCTGTGTTGCATGATTCAAATATTTGTAACAGTTATTCCCCAAGCCAGCATCTTCATTACTGAGCTATATGATCAATAAACAAAAGGATCACCTTCCCTCTGTAATTGTCCTCAGGTACCACTGACTACCACAAAGCCGCAGGATAGTCAGTGGTCAAAAAGCTGCTGTTCTGACATTTCCCTCTTCCCATCCAAGTTCAACAGCCATTTTTCTAGTGACCGTATGCAGGTGCTGTCACTGCCTAGCAAGTGTAAATATGGCAGTCTAAGGACCTGCCATGGCAAGCTGAGAGGGGTGGAAGTTTCTGAGGCTTGCGGCTGTGATATAAATTGCTGCCAAGTTAGAAGGAGTACTGCCTCAGTGGACAGTCTAAATATCCTAGTCATTTAAAGAGAACTTAAACTAACACCTTGGATGGCCAGTTAACATAGTTTTGACCTGAAAACATCAGTTTAAAAACTACTGAAGCTTTATTGAATTAAGACTGTGTCTCATTATGTACCATAAATAACCAATCTAGTTACCTCAAAGGTGAATTACCTTTGTCAAAGCATAGGGAGGATAATCTTCAAATGTACTTCCCAGGACACCACGCCTAAACAAGCCTCTCTCTTACATTCAGAGCATATTCCATGGCTCCCAACAAGCACTTGAAACACCACACCTTCTGCAGAACCTTGGACTGTCGACGCACACACAGAGCTTAGAATAGGTTGCCGTTTCCTTCTCTGCCTAAACACTGGATGGTTAATGCTCTCAGAGGACTGTTGTCCCTTCTTTCCCTGTGTCATTTTCTATCTCGATGAGTGCTATAAATGTTAAAGTCTTCATTCAATTCTGACATCTCAAAGTGGTTGAGATTAATGCTGTCTCCTAGAGATGTTACTGTTCTTTTCTCTGATTTGACAGAACACGCCTACACTCTGTGAACTAACACTTTACATCCTAAGAATAATAAACAGCAATTTGAAGTATTAACACACTGGCAGAAAGCTCTGACTGACACAGTAAGGAAAAAAAAAACTGACATCTTGAGAACCACTTAGAAAAAACTTCAATTGTTTAGGTTTTTTTGGAGCTTAGATATTATTTCTTGTTTGTCAATAATAAAATCCAAAACACACATGAAGACCCTTCAGAAAGGTTAATGATTCCTTCTTATTGCCAGAGGAAAATATAGTCACTCTCATTCATATTGTTAGTGATAATATCTGAGGTTGAGTATATAAGGTTGAATATTAAATGGGAATGCCAATATAATTAAACTATATTGCTCCCACTGCTTTGGATATTATTTTTGGAGCAGTTAAACTATCTCTAAAGATTGTTGTTAGATTAAAATAATATCAAAGAGTATGTAAAACCCAATATTTTAGTTGATACTTGCTATCCCAGGAGTCTCAGAGAAGCTCTTCGTTATTACTGATTTTAGAATTTAGGAAATTCTAACACTTGAATTTATGTGGCTTTTTTCTGTTTAGTTACCTTATTTTGTTTGTTTTTGTAGGTTTCATTGATTTCATAGTAGAGCCAACATTTTCTCTTCTGACAGACTCAACAGAGAAAATTGTTAATCCTCTTATAGAGGAAGCTTCAAAATCTGACAGTTCTTCCTTCGTGTCAAGCAGGTTTGGTGTTTTCTTTTTTTGCATCATTTCTCATCTTTGTGATATTTAACAATCTTTTACTTAATGATTATCCCGATTATAGTTAATATTTAGGCAGTGCCTTCTTACAAGAATTATTAGGAAGTATTGCCACCTAGTGGCTTATGCGTTATATTGTATCTGCCTTTGAAATTGAGAACTGAAGACCACTACAAAAAAAATATCCTCGTACTGAGGAGAGTCTCCCGCCCTCTTTCCCAGTGGGAGGGGAGGGAAGGGAGGTGAGCAACTGCCATATGCTTAAGATTGGGTCTGCACATCTGCTATCCTGATTCTCCAGTCACTTTTGTGAAGTTATTCAGGTTGTCCTGCCTCATCCCCTAACCTGATGTTGGTATTTTTTGGTTTCTCTGGTTGTTACTGTTAGCGCTACCATTGTGGCGTTGCAAAGTGCTGATTCGATAAGACGAGCAAGCACAAAAAGCTACCTGGGTGATCCGTCCTATTTCCCAGACTACACCCTGACAGCCGTGGACCTGAAGAGCTTCAAAAACAACCTGGTGGACATCATTCAACAGAACAAAGAGAGGTGGAAAGAGTTGGCTGCACAAGGTATAATTGTTTAGGAAGCCTTATTGCCATCTCTCTCTGTCCTAACTCCTGCTCTAATATGTTGAATTTTTCTCTAGATTTCATTTTCTACAAAATATGTAAGTCCTTGGTGGTGTTTGGAGTTTGGCTACCCTTTGGCTATTTATGAGAAAGTTGGATTCTTCTCTGTTTATGCCACATGAGCTGCTGCCATGTAGAACAGTGAGCCAATTGATATCGAAGGATGAGACAATAGGATGGTGACAAAACCGTGTTATGGTAAACTCTCGTGCTTTCCTGGGAGTGCTCCCCAGCTTGCATTTTACTTTGGAAGTAGCTTTTAATGGTGCATTAAGAATGTAATAATGTCTGAGATTTGGGCTTTTTCTCCCCAATTTTACTAAGTAAGATTTTACTTCTTTTTAGGTCTTTGGATTCGTTTCACTTGGGAATTTGAGTTTGATTTTACTTCTTTAACTAAGAGCATCACTCAAGAATTGGAGAAATAATTTGTAATCAGTCACCAAAAAAAAAAAAATTAGATAGAAAACTAGCTATGGTTATTCCTTATAATTTACTTATTCAAATTAATTAGACCATTTGGTTTAGGAGTTATGTGAGTCAGTATCAGAATAGTCATAATTTTTCATGTAGGAAATTAGCTTTCAAATTCCAGATCTGGCCTCTTGCCTCTTCTCACACTTCCACCCATAGCCCAGTCTCCCTCATGTCCTAAGCTGGATGGACTCTTAGAAGATTCCTAAAATACCCTAGAACCTTTGCAATTATTTTTCTTTCAACCAAGAATTCTTCTTCTCTGTTTACAACCTTGATATACCCAGAAATAAACTTTTTATTGAAAGATATTATATGAGATTAAAATAAATGGAGTGTTAAACCACATTTATGTTCAGAAGGACTCAGTATTGAGTAGGTAATAAATATTACGTGTTTCCTACAAAAATTCCAATGTTTTCTCATGGAGTTTGACAAATTGATGTTTAAATTTCACATGGTATGGCAAAGTGCTAAGACTAGCCAAGACATTTCCAAAGAATAAGGTAGGGATACTTTCCATATCAGAAATCAAAATTTAATATTATACTATGGTAATTAAGTCAGTGTGGCTCTGATGCAGATATAGTCAAATGGACCATGGAGCAGAGAGCCAGAAACAATGCATTAATTACTGCAGAAACTGGAAAGGTGACAGACACACAAGTTCACATACCCTGTCTTTTGTATGTTCCCCCATATTCATTGCTTTGGTGTTCTTAATACTGTCCTGAAGATTTGAGTTGCTATGTGGTGTCATTTCCCCTCATACTGGAATACTGCCTTTGGCATTTAGTAACGCAGGTCTGATAGCAAACAATTAACTTAGATTTCTTTGATCTGGGAGTATCTTTATTTTACCTTCAATTTTGGATGATTTTGTTAAATTTTGAATTCTTGATGATTTTTTTTTTCCTTTTAGAACTTTGAAGCTGTCATTCTTTTGCCTTCTGGCTTCCTATAGTTCCTGATAAAGAATCACCCAAAAATGTATTATCACTTCTTTGAATGTACTGAGTCTTGTTTTCTTGCTGCTTACCAGATTATCTCTTTATTTTTGACTTTCAACAGTTTGATAATGATTTATCTAGGTCTGGTTTTCTTTATATTTATCCCATTTGTTTTTCACTGAGTTTCATAAATTCATAAGTTAATGTTTTGTATCAAATTTGGAAATCTTCCTGTCATTTAGTCCAGTATTTTTTCTCCTCCTCTCTATTCTCTTCTGAAGCGCCTATTGATATTATTCATAATTTAGTATTCTGAAAATTGTCCCACAAGCTTTAGATCTCTGTTCAATCTCCATAACTGTTTCGCTGTTTCTTTTGTTTGTTTGCTCTTTTGGTTTGTTGATTTGCTTGTTTGTCTTTTGTTTTGGGATTGGCTGTTTATCTTCAAGTTTGCTGATTCTTTATCACCTCAAATCTGTTGTCAATCTACTGAGACAGTTCTTCATCTCAGTTATTTTTCTTTTTACTTTGGTAATTTCCATGTGTTTCTTTTAAATTATTTCTCTGTTATATTTTATATTTACTTTCACTCATTGTTAGCATCTTTCCCTTTAATTCTTTAAAATTGTTTTCTTTAAATTTTAAACATGTTTATAAAATTTGTCTTAAAGTCTCTATCTGCCCAGTCCAACATTATGGTCTACTCATAGCAATTTTCTACTTATTTTCCTCTGTGTGGACCATGCTGTACACTTCCTTGCCTAAATTTAACTGTAGAAGCTATCTCTCTTCTAACTTCTAGTCTTTGGTTTCTTTGGTTTTTTAGTCACCTTCCCTTTGAAATTTCCTCTATATGTATATAGTTTATGTAGTTATTAGCCTATATTGATATTGTGTTCAAATACCACAAGCACACAGCCTTAAGCTCTGTCAATTGAGATTTGGGTGGTGGGGAAATGCATTAAAACTTCTAGAACTTGTAATCAGTTCTCAAATATTTCTTGCCTTTCACTTTTTACTAAGCTTTCAAAGATCTATTTCATGTTTGTATAATTCCATGGTTAGCTGGGATGTGTGAAAAGAAGACAGAAAGTCAGCACCAAGATGGGCCTATGCAAACCTTGCTAAGATAGTATTTATCTTCCTTTAGTTTCTTACATATATAC